AGGCCTCACACCTGGAGTAGACACCAAAAGTAGCAGCAAGAAGGGACACCAAGCAGTGGTCACGATGTGACCAGTAACGAGCAATGACCTCAGCTAAAAACCAAAGGCATATCTTAGTCTTTGGGAAAATGCTGAACCCACTGTACCCTAGCATAACAGACTATTCACTACAACGTACTGCAAGTTACAGTATTTCTAAAAATTTAACTTATTTTTCTAATCAACCTGCTCAGAGATGTTACTTCAGACCTCTGGCGCAGGGCAGGTTGGAACCCAGACCTCCCAACCAAGGGAAGAGACATTACCACTGCGCCAGGGGACCACTAAAAATATGGAATGCTTCACAAATTTGCATGTCATCCTTGCACAGGGGCCATTCTAATCTCTTCCAATTTCAGTATATAGCTGCCAATGCAAGTTCATCTGTTTTCATTTACAAATGTAAAAGCAGTGTATTTCAACTTATGGGGTACAAGCACAAGATTTTTCAGCTAAGGTCAAGGAACCTATCAGTTCTTCACTTAAAAAAGGTTGTTTCACAAATTGTCGCTGTATTCCTGAGAATTGCAACTTTAAGCACTTCCTACACACAGCAACAGCCACCTAAGGAGGAAACACTTGGCTCCATCCTATCATATGTTCTACCTAACGTCTGTGGCACATTCAACTCATGAACACTATACAACACTTGATTACCAAAGCAATCCAACATGCTGTACATCTTCCAATCCTACAAAATTGAAACAAGACCAATCTGTGGACACTTTGTTACTTACTAATTTAAAAGTAAATTTAACGTAGGTGTAAGTTGAGCAGAGGTTTTCAAAATATTCCCAAGAGTAGTACATTTACAAAATCCTATCAATCCATGAGTGTTGAATACTTTAAAAATCAACGTTAATTTTTTCCAGAAAGCACAACACTGGCTAATAGTTTGTGGATCAATATCAAGACTTCCTCTAAAACATTCTGGCATTGGATAACATGCCTGCTGACTGTGTTCTTAAGTAGACTTCTTTCTCAAATCCATGGAGTCATGGAGTCAAAAGGGTCTACTTCCATGTTGTATGACTCTCTAAACACTTGTCAGTGGCTGTCCTTTGATTTGAGGAAGAAGTCTACTGAAGTACACACATTACTACCACATGACTATCACTAAACAGGCCCATTCTGTACCAGGTCATCTCTGGGCACATGGAAAAGGACATTACAAAGGTGTAAGATCCAGAATGCAGGATTTGTCTCCTTTATTATCCTTCTGCTGCTACCAAACCTCATCACTGAGCTAAGTGTAAACACATCAAAATACAGCTCGATGGACAAGTCGTCACCAGTTTAAACTACTGGTAGCAAGCTCTTCACACCAATTAATGTAAATGAAGCACTCCTTGAAGCAAAGTAGCCAAGTGCTTTTGAAAAGTTCTCTTTGCTGTCTCCACCTCCACAACATTTGACAGCTGCAAAATTAAGATCTGGTAGGGGAGACACTTTACAGCTACATGGTCTACTGTAGATTATTTTGAAGAAATTGTGCTTAAATGCTTGCAGAGCTGGTATTTACAGGTCAGGAACATGGAATATTTTTCTTGCCCCTGGATGAGTACTGTAGCAGTAACATACAAGAAGTTAAAGACCATCTAGGATAAACAGATTCACTTCATCTGCTCCCCTTCCACTGTTAAATATTGGCCCTTTCTACTAGCATTGCTAGTAGCAGTGCGTACTGTCAACTCAGAGGAATTTCCAAAGCCACAAGCATCATGAACAAGGTGAAGGACAGCAGACACATGGAAAAACAAACAACTTGCAAGGTCCACCAATGTCACAAACAATCATTCTTTCATTGTTGGCTAGGTCAAAAAGATTAAACTCCTTTCCGAACAGCGCTGTGTTGATACCTACATGACATGGACTGCAACAGTTCAAGAACCAGCTCACCAACTTCTCAACAGCAATTGGGAATAAACAAATGCTGGCCCTGCCATCATAATTTCTTTTGTCTCTGTGGCAGGTTACAGCCATGTTATTAGTGGTCAATCACGTACATCCTTTAAATGTCACTTCTACAGCATCAAATGCTTACTGCGTTGGTCACAGTTGCTACGAAGATCAGAGATACCAAAGACAAGGTAAAACAACTTGGGAGAAAGAATGAATTGCCAGAGAAACCTTTTCATTTAAGCTTCAACTAGAAAGTCAGCAAGTATGATGGTTGCTTCTGTGATAGTATAGCAGGAAAAACAGAATTAGCTGCTTTCCAATTTCAAAGATTGTTTCATTGCACTGATGGTGAAAGCATTCTTGGGCTACATCAATAAACAAATTATAAAACTATAAAACAAATTATAAACGTGCAGTCCTGGACAGCACTTGAGAACTTCTGATGATGTGGATGACATCATATGCATCTCAAAATAGTTCACTCATACAAGGCCTGTGACATATGCTAACACTCGGAGAATGGTCAGAATTGCCATTATAACCAACTGAAAATAATTCAAGAGATCTCCTTCTGGAGATGGAGAACTCTGAATAACGGCTAGAATATTATCATATCTTGATTTTAAAAAGTGATCTTCCTTTGCAACAAGTAAACATGGATTACTAGATGGTTATATGGATATGATTAGTTTATAAGATAGCTTGTAAACATATTAAAGATTTATCTGTTGAGCCCGGAGCAGGACCCTGGCAGACAGTGGTGAGGCAGCAGCTGGCAGAGGGACGAGCATGGAACCAGGCATCAGCTGCTACAATGGCAAGATAAGCCCAGCGGTGAAAGATGATGCCCGAGGACCGGTGACTTTGACACTGGTCAGGTCCAGCACTGGCGGAAGCGTTATGAACTCTAAATTTTTTTAATATTACTCCTGCGCTATCCAAAATGGCACCAGATTGTGGCAACAGTAGAAGCTCTTTACTATATTTCCACTAAAATACACACAACAATAAAATCAAATGACACTAAGATCATTCTTCAAATTTCATGTCAAATGCAATTAAAAAGCTATGCCACATAACTGACACCTAGTAATGACCATTTATATCACCAATATTATTAATACCAAATAATGAGGGTTCTTGATGACAAAAATTCTCTTAAGCATTTACAGTGTGGGTGGTTAACCATCAAGGGCAACAATAATCTTAACAACACTGAACGTTGTGCAATTGGTTAAATTACAAAGTTTTGGGCCTATACTTTTCTTAATTCAATTCTACATTACTCCACAACCTTGTAAGCATTAAAATGTAGAAAATTCTTTCAACAGCTTGACTGGAGGGAGTCCAGGGAATGAAGGTACCACGTCAAACAAAACTGAATCGGAAGTCACAAGAAGGTTTCTGGTTTTGGTCAATGGTGATCACAGCTGCTGGACTACAAACTCGAAATAACACAGAAGTGAAGGAGTCCGGTCCGTGAGTAAGAAATCTCGGGATCCGAGGCCAACGTGTAAAACTAACAAAACTAAAACAGAAACGTGCGCGGTGATACTCAAGTCTTAAATTCAGAAAGCCCCAAAAGGGGTTTTTACCAGTTTTTTTAAAAAACCTAAAACTGAAACGAGACGGTAAATGTTCAGGCTTCGCCTTCACTCAACCAGCTCCGAAACAGAAGACAAATCCTTGCCCTTAGTTCCAAAGCAAGCAGAGTACCTGGTCTTGACGTAGCAGGGTGAATCTGATCGGGCATCAATCACTCTCCACTTCTCCCCTCCCCCCAGTAAAATGTCCTTGCTTCTCTTTGCATTGGATTTGTGCGCTGTTATGTAACCATCCCCCAACGAAGTGTGCAACCGAAGGCATGGAGGGAGGAGACTTGAGAGGTGAGAGCCACATGCGTGCGCGGACCTCCTCCTCCAACGGTCGAGACAGAGCCGCAAATGAGCAGCCCTTGGGCAGGGTGGAGGACAGAGAAATTGGAGCACAGTTAAAACCCGGTCGAATTAATGTTATTGTAATAACTACTGCGCCTGATATTTTCCAACACATGGACTCTCAGAGAGCTCACCCCTCTACCCACCTTCTATAACCCACACCCACTCAAAAGAAGCTGACACTTCACAACATTGCAGGATGGAACGATCGACTTCTGTCCTACAAGTCGTCAATGACGGGAGGACGCGAAGTCTGCAAAAATACTCTCCACCAATTCAGTTTACTCAGCGCTGTTCTCTCCCTAACATTCTCCTCCCTCGACCTCGAATGAAAAAGCAAAGGGACCTGCTTACACGCCGGCCTCAGCTGTCAAGAGAATTTGGGAGGGGGGGGGGGCTGGGGTGAAGAAATGCTTAAAACCCCCATTGCAGGAAAACGCGCCAGCAACGCTGGGGCCGTTTCTCCTGACATCTGCGGCTTTCCACAGCTACCGGCAATGTAAAGGATTATCTTCATTTGATCCTGAATCCCGACCCTAGAGCCCGGTGCGGGCCTACACAAACCCCGAGGATCGTAGGGCCCTTTGCGTGTGTCTAAAATCTTCATTTAATAAGAAAGTACCCCAGCCACACCGTTCCCATAAGTGATTTCCTCTTTCCCATCGAACTCACCGGCTGTCTGTCCCGGAGACCTCCGGAGCCCAACCCGCATCTCCTCGGATCTCTCTACCGCTTTCAACGGCATCTCCTTTATTCCCCCCCCCCACTACCTGGGCCCAGGAACGTCGCCTAACGGCCGCGTGCGTGAACGGTGGCGAGGGGGGGGAGGGGGCGGTGGAAAGAGAGGAACACTCCACGCCTGCGCACCACCTCAGGTCTAGGGACTGAACCTTCCTCTCTCACTCCCCCAACCCCCCCCCCCCCAACAAAAAACTTTCCCTTCGCGCGCGCGCGTTCTCGACCGTGCGACGCTGTTCAAATCTTCCCGGAGGTAGGAGAGTCAACGAACTTCTTTTACCCGACGCAACGGTCGGAGATGTGGCCGGATTCCTCCCGCAAGCCGATGGGCCCCACAGCACAGTTAAAACGTAACAGCTATAACTCGGTGGACGGGGTTGTTACCTTCCCTGGTGATGTCGTCGTCGTCGCCGCCGCCACCGCGACCGCGACGACAGATTGCCGATCCTCTCCACTCGCCACTCGCCGCCATCTTTGACAGTTTAAATCGGGACCAGTGATTGACGTCAAATCCCTAGCAGTGGTTCTTATCAGCGCGGTTCCGCGGCTTTGGGGAGTGGGGGGAGTGGGTGTTCCAAATGTGGCTCCGCGCGGTCCTAATGACCCTCGTCTCAATGAGACCTTTGTAGCTCTGTTCCGATTCCAAAGCGATGATGTGGAGGTGCCAGTGTTGGACTGCGTGGACAAAGTCAGAAGCCACGCGACACCAGGTTATAGTCCAACAAGTTTATTTGAAATCACAAGCTTTTGGAGCATAGCCTCTTTGTAAGATGAAGTAGGAGAGCAGGACACAGACGCAGAATTTGTAGGCAGAGAGATCAAAAGATCATACAAATCCTTCCTTATTGTCTTGTTTTGACACCATCAGCTTGATAAATTATTATGATCTCTCTATCATAATTAGTTTGTACAGTCTTGGATCACTTATTACTTTGGTTAGACCCTTGGCATGCAACTCTTATACTTATCATGTTATTTCCAGTCATTTGGTTTCTCTCCAGCACCACCTTATTTTTAATTTTTTATAATCGTTTCTGTCTAATTTAATCAGATTATAGGTCATCCCTTCACTTGTTATCCAGTTGTTAACACTTTACTCACAACATCTGACACTTTTGAACATCTGCAGAGACTTATTATTTGACACTCCACTCAAACCACTTGTATGATCTTTGGATCTCCCTGCCCTTGATCTCTCTGCCTATAAACTCTGTGTCTGTGTGCTTCTCACCTGATGAAGGGGCTACGTTCCAAAAGCTTGTGATATTCTGTAGTGGTTGAGGCCTTTAAAGATTGTTCAGATATGGGGTGCAGACATCATTAGAACAGAAGAATTAAGGAACAAAGAACACGGAATAAGGCACATGCTATACAGCCAATGACAGGACTGGAGTTGCAATAACATATGAAGGTGGCACCTTACACAAAGGACATGGTCATTACTCCTAAAGAGATGAGAAAACAAATACTGAAGCATGCTGATAGTCAAGCAAGCCATCCAGGAATTGATTCTAGTCTGAAGAAGGCAGGGGAAGTGCTCTAATGACCAAACATAAGGAATGATATTAAGAATGACATTACTTAGTGCAATGGTAAGATAGCTAAAGAACTGCTAAATTGTACAACATCACAGACAGACCATGAATAAAGCTTGAAGTAGACCTCTTCAATAGCTCAGGAAATGATTATCTTGTCACCATCTGCCACTATTCTGACAACTAGGAATTGGACCAGCTAAGGTCAACAATCAGTAGGATTGTAAACTGCTTGAAAACTCATTTTAGTTTGTATGAATTACACTGTGATAAAGTGACAATGGCCCTCAATTCATGAGTAACAAGTTCAGGCGCTTCATAAGAAATTATGAAATTCAATACCGTACATCATCCCTACACTATTCCCAATCACATAAGAAAGACTGAGATAGCAGTGAAAACTGCCAAACAGCTCATAACAAAAATCAAACAAATCCAACACACCCCAGTACAAGGCAATTTTAAAGTGGTTAAATGTATCAACTGAAAGCATGGAAAGCAGTGCAGTCCAATATAAGTGTCATACTACATCTAAATACTCTTCCAACCTAGAAAAAAAAGACTGCTGAAGTAAGACGTAGGACTGGAGGGAGTGACAAAATCAAGATGTAGTGACAGAAAGTCAGTGGAAGGGTGCTTTTTGGAATGGAGGATTGTGACTAGTGGTATTTCACAGGGATCAGTACTGGGACCTCTGCTGTTCGTGGTCTACATAAATGATTTGGAGGAAAACATGGCTGGTCTAATTAGTAAGTTTGCAGTCGGTACAAAGATTGGTGGAGTTGCAGATAGTGAGGTGGGTTGTCAGAAGATACAGCAGGATTTGGACTAGATGGAGGCATGGGCAGAAAAATGGCAGATGGAGTTTAATCTGGCCAGTTATGAGGTGATGCATTTTGGAAGGTCAAGTACTGGTGAAAATTATACAGTGATTGGCAGAACCCTTAGGATATTGATATGTAGAGGGATCTGGGTGTGCAGGTCCAGAGATCACTGACGGTGGCAGCACAGGTAGATAAGGTAGCAAAAAAAGGCCAATAGCATGCTCGCCTTCATTGAGAGGAGCATTGAGTTTAAGGATAGGCAAGTTATGCTACAGCTTTATAGAACTTTAGTTAGGCCACACTTGGAATATTGCATACAGGTTTGGTCACCACACTACCAGCAGGATGTGGATGCTTTGGAGAGGGTACAGAAAATGTTTACCAGGATGTTGCCTGGTATCAGGGGTTTTAGTTATAAAGAAAGGTTAGATTGATTGTGTTTATTTTCACTGGAAAGCAGGAGGTTGAGGGGAGATCTGATAGAAGTTTCTAAGACTGTGAATGGCACAGATAAAATGGAAAGTATGAGGCTTTTTCCCAGGGTGGAGGGGTCGATTACTAGAGGACACAGGTTCAAGGTGCGAGCGGGGGAAGTTTAAAAAAGATGTGCGAGGCACAATTTTCACCCAAAGGGTGGTGAGTGTGTGGAATGTGTTGCCAGATGAAGTGGTGGAAACAGCCACAACAGCAGCATTGAACAAGCACCTGGACAATTACTTGAATAGGAGAGGAATAGAAGGATATGGATCCTGTGAGTGGAGACAGTTTTAGTATGGAAGGACAAAATGTGTTGGCGCAGGCTTGGAGGCCCAAAGGGTCTGTTCCTGTGCTATTTTGTTCTTCATAGGGCCGGTGTCCCCCACAATGGAAATGAATCAGCAATAATGTTCACCAAGATAATAGCACTCACCATGGAAAGTGCTGTCCAGAGAAGGATCATCACCCAGGAATGAGCAGATGCCAGACGAACAGCCAACAACAATGCACACCATTAGAAAACCTGCATGATATATAAAAAAATTACATGCAATGCATGTGTAAAAACTAATGAAAGTGGAACTAAAGCAATACAGTTTTTTTAATTAATGATTGTTTACTTTTTTGACCATGTACCATGGGGACTTGTAAGTGCAAATGATAGTGCATGCAATTTTTGCATGCTTTCCTAACCAGAAAGATGATGATTAGAGAAATGCTTTTGTACAAACTATACTGGCTGATTTATCATAGTCACTTGACCTCTACTTCTGCTGTAACCTTAATTTATAGCAGCCAATTAAACAAATTATGTGAAAACTATGACCTGATCAAGGGAGTAAGAGATCCTGTGGTAGCAGTCCATAAAGACATCAAAGTGCAAATAGATGTCTTTCCTCAACTAGATTCTACAATAGTACAAGAGCTACGGAATAATCTAGAAACAGTACTTGAAGTAGAACTCCCTATAAATGGTATATAATTAGTATATAACAGTCTGTTAAATACTTAGGAGTCAAAGGTAACAAGGTAAACTGGTGCTGGAATTAATTAGTTAATTGTATTATAATGTATTGGGGTCTGATTACACACTGATAATGTCCCTAACTCTGAGCCAGAAAGTCTTGGTTCAAATCCCACCTGTCCCAGATGTGTGTCACAGCATGTCTGAAAAGGTTAATTAAAATAGCTATTAAAATGTATCCAAAGAAGAACCAGCCAGAAGGAGGAGGAGGGTGCACTTGAATTGAGAAGCAAGCTCTGTTTGAAGAAATAAAGAATCTTAACCAAAGTATTGTGTGTGCTTCACAAATGGACAATATTCTTTAACATTGGTAGCAGGGAATGGTCGCCTAAAAGTGAAACTAGGAGACTAAGATTTACTTTCAGGTAGATTTGAGTTAGAGTCAGTTTTTTTTTGAGGTGGAAAAAAAAACTGAAACCAAGTATTAGGTTTTAGTGAATTTAGTGAATATGCAAAACCATTGATATCAAAAGAGCAATTTTTGCAAGGACACCAATTTCAACAGCAAATATTTTTAAAGCCTCCAGAGGAGTTGAAGATACAGATGCAAAATTATGAAGGTATCTATTGGATAAATGATGCATACATCATGTAGTATTTTTCAATTAGTTCTGTCCTACTAAAAACTTGTGCTCAGCTGAAAGCACATTCAGGAATGTTTTATTGGAACTGTGAATGAAAACCTGAGGCATTTTCTTATTGAATGTGGGCAAGTTCCTTCTGGGAAGCTCTGCAGCTTTGGAAAAATTAGTGATAGGTAAACTTAATAATAGAATTCATAATTGGAAGTCAATCTCCATGAGCTATTAAATATATAGCACTGAATTTCACCAGTAATTGGTTAAATGTCACGGAAGGTTTCTCTCTGTAAGTTCTAGTGAATTTTCTAACACTGTTTTCCCAAACTCGCCTCATTATTTAAGCACTACACCACTATAGCATCCCACTTATTGTGTTCTCCCACTTAGCACAGGCGGAAGTACTGGGCACTGCTTGGATCTTCAGCATTCTTGGTGCCATGTTACCTATAAAGCCTGTCCATCTGCGCCAACACTACAGTCAAGAAAGCAAACCAACGCTCTACCTCCTCAGAAAGCTAAGGAAATTTGGCATGTCCACAATGACTCTTACCTATTTTTAGAGATGCATCATAGAAAGCATTGTATCCAGACACATCACAGCTTGGAATGGCATCTCCTCTGCCCAAGACTGCAAGAAATTACAGATTTGTGCACGCAGCCCAGTTCATCATGAGAACCAGCCTTTCTTCCATTGACTCCGTCTACACTTCCTACTGCCTCAGGAAAGCAGCCAACAAATTCAAAGACCCCTCTCACATCGGTTATAGTCTCTTCCACCCTCTTCCATTGGGCAAAAGGTACAAAAGTTTGAAAACACATAACAACAGATTCAAGAACAGCTTCTTCCCCGCTATTATCAGACATACACGGACCTCTCATGTATTAGAGTTGCTCTTCCCCTGCACTTTCTCTGTACCTGGAACACTATATTCTGCATTCTGTTCTATTACCTTGATGTACTTATGTAGGTATGATTTGTCTGGATAGCGCACAAACAATACTTTTCACTGTATCTTGGTACAGTGATAAATCAGATCAAAAAGCCCAGTCATGTACGCAGTCAGGTGTTGGCAATCCACAGCTACCCTGCACAGTTCCTGTCAATTGTCACAGACAT